CGGAACACATCGGTTCTCTGTATGAAATCGGTGGTACAGTCGTGACTTGATAATCCAACACTAAATATAAAACCTTCTTTTACTGTATGTCAGATAGCAAGGCTGTCGGATTGTCAAGACGGAGGTCGAGATACAAGGAGGGCTTGATGCTGGAAGGCTCATTTGTTGTTAATTATTGTTCATAGTTGTTATAATAACTCGTAGGGCTGGTCCCAATAGCACTTTCTGGATATTCAGGCCCAGTTAATTGATGAATATCCGAATGATCCACACAGTCAGGGGGACACTTCCACCCCAGGAGGAGCGCTTCGACGGGGTGGAAGTGGCCGAACGCACAGGAAGTACTTGGCTGCTGATGCTAGTTTAGTTAGCGCTCACAGTTCTGTTTCCACCATCCGTGTTTACTTCCATAAACACTGAGCACGCTCGCTGCGTGTGACATCGTCGTGTCCTCTTCTGCGCATGCGGGACTCTTCTGGGTCGTATGAAGTTCACACAGCAGATCACATACAAGTCGCATTTAACTGGAAATGTGAACGAACTCGCAAAAAATCAGATTTCACAAAAAAATCTGAATTGACATGAAGTCCTGCAGTCTGAACGTAGCCAATCTGTGGGATTGTTCAGTCAGATAATACGCCGTTATCCTGATTGGTGACATAAAATGTCATGTCGGAGTCAGAATCCAAGGCTGTCGGTATGTTAAGGCTGTTTTAAATTGGTTCTGTTTGTTTTTCCTAAAAACCTGTCTGATAGCAAGGTTTAGGATTGTTAAGGGTCGGATGATCGAGTCACGACTGTAGTTTAGAGATTTCACCATAAAACAAACTTGATTCATTAAGAGTAGAAATTGTAGAAAAGCTGAAAGTAGTGTTTTTTTTTTAACATGCACCTTGATGTGAATAACTTCTTCCCTGAAACCGTTCTGTGAATGTACGGTGACGGAAGCGGAAGCCGTCGGAGCTGCAGAGACGGCGCTCGGAGCCTTTGTGGTGCCAGCTGAGCGAGGCAGACAGTTGAAGGGAACAGGTTGCTGCGTCTGTTGGGGCTCGTCTTGCTGCTCTTGACCTCTGACCTTTAGCTGTGACAGCTTCAGGGACTGGGAGATACCAAATTTCTCCAGATTAGGAGAGAAGGCCAGATGAGACGCAGACCAGCACAGCACTGGTCAGCACTGTGATATAAAGCACACGGCGGAGGAATTCCAGTGTAAGCGTGTGTGATGTTCGTGTTTAGTCAAAGAAATCGTCTAATTTTATTAAACTGATTCTGTGTTGATGGATTTTAACACTTTGTAAGAACCACACTGACCTAATTTAAGGTTTTCCGTTGACACAGCCCATTATTTGAAAGCAGTAGTGAGTTAGAAATATTGTGTTAACACATAATTGAGCTGCTCAAAAGAAAACGATAACAAATGGAATCTCAAAGCTTGAGAACTACAGCAGCGTGCTCTCACCACACACCTCTAAAAAATAAAAAGCACTGAATACCATTTATTATCTCCTCACAGGATTTATTAAAGTTAAGGATTTGGCTTTGTGTTGCCAACATGCAGAATCGTCTCGTGCTCCTTCGTTCGCTAACAGAAACATTTCTTCAGCTCTGGTTCGATGATGATGTTTATCTCGAGGCGCGTGACTTTTAATATTATACCAACTGCATTTCAATGAGTCGCCTTTTGACGTTATTGTTATGGATTTAGTTTAAAAGCCGTTTTGGTTTTTAGCCAAACGAAAAAAAAAAGGAGAGCTCAGTAATTTGGAGCAGCTGATTTGTTGGGAAAAAAAAAGTGGCCGTCAAAGGCGCTAATGTCACTCGTCTGAAACTAACGGAGGCAGAAAATGAAAGGGGGGGAAATAAAGACAATTGGATTTATTTGTACGATGCAGTTTGTATGAATCGATGCAGTTAATCAGCTTCAATTTTGTGGTGGTGGCAGCCCTGTATACACAACTTTATCAAGAAATAGAGGAACAATGTGGATTTACAGTGTATGGATACACTACCCTATTTAAGACGGTGTAGGAAGCCCTGTGTTTATCATAATGTTGTTTTTCGATGAGAGATGAGTGGAAGTCAATGGGTGAAAGCGGTCTGGAAAATTGGTTTGATCCACTAACGATGCTTCAGGACATCTGTTTTCACGGAGAACTGAAATTAACCCTGCTGGTTTGATATCACCAGGTTTGACATGAAGCGCAAGTAAAGCGAAGATTTTGCTCTCGATGCTGGCACAGATAATGTGGAGTAATGAGACAGCCTCGTTGCATGGATGCGTGTTTTCTCTTGGAAATGTTCCTCTTTGAGCTTTATTGTACTGCGAGATTTGTCAAGCGGGTGACAAAAAAAACAAAAAAAAAAAAACGGGGAGAATTCCTCAATAATGTAGGTCACACACGAGCGAAAAAGCTCATACTCGTGCCACGCCAGAGAAAAAGCTTTGTCATTTTTTTAATTTACCCCATCCTCGGGAGGGAGGCAGATTTGCATAATCAGGGTATTCACTGTCAAACCCTTGAAAGCATATCATGTTTATTCACAAACCTATTAGTCATTTGGTACAAAGACAAAGTACCAAATAAGCTTGTCTTCCACAAAACCTCTCGAGTTTTTCTTTGTCGTGGCACATCACTCAGGTAGCGCACCTTTCACGTCGAACAAATACGCTAAAACAAATCTTTTTTTTTTTTTTTTGCCTTTTCTACGACTGCTCCCAAGGATTTGCAGCTACACGGATGGATGTTTATCATTGCAAGAGCTGTAGCTTATATGCTTTTGTGTTTCCTTTCAACATAAATACACTTGCCTCTGGGCAAAGGAGCTGCTTCCTCTCACTGCTCTGTTAAAGACGAGAGAATAGATATCCTTTTGCTCAGTGTTTCTGCCTCCCCCACCTCTCTCCTCAGTGCCGGATCCCCACCACATGTAGCCAGCACCACACAGTCTTGGCCAACGCTTGCATTTGTGTCAGGAAGAGCGGAGGTAGGCTCATAGATCCCCATTTTAGGCTCCGGGCCAACACCGTGTGTTCAACATGGAGGGCCCCCAGGCAGTCGTGCTCACTGATGACAAATGTGGATGGCAAGCGGGGTAAAAACCTGGAGAAGGGGCAGAGAGATAAGGCCATCTGAGCACTCGAGTTTGTTATGGAAGTAATTGTGTCCTCAGTGCTTTGACATTGTGATTGTTGTGTTTAGTGGTGGTGTATATTTTTCCCATCCATGGGCAGGTTTTGTGCTCCAGATAAATGTAGAGAAAACATTTTTTTCCTGCTCTCCCCTCACAGATTTATCCATATAAGTTGCTGCTTCGAGATGAAATTAGCCTTTGGAATTTTTGCCCCTTGCTTAACCCGTTGGGCTCTGGGCACATACGTGCCTGCACCCATACATACATCCACTGTGTTGTGTGGAAACTCAATGACACAACTGTTTAGCAGACTCCTGGCCTCCCATTTCCCACACCCTCCGGGCCCCCTCAGAGATTTCAAGGTCAGGAAAGGGCACGGGCTGAGATTCATTTCTTGGGAAGCAGAGCCACTGTCACAAACGGTCACAGAGAGCGAATCTCTTCTTTTACAGTACTTCTTTTTTTTTTGGTGGTTTTTAACTGCATCTCACCAAGTTCGGATCTGTGAGGGATACTTTTGATTTCCACAGCTTTGGACGTGGCGTCAAATCAGAGCCGTCAGCGGCGGTCTTCATCGGAGCGGACGGGGAGGTGAAGATGTGTCGGTGGAGCCATTGAAGTCTGACAGCAGAGGACTCATTTTAAAATTGAATGTTGAAGGTTCTGGCTGAGCGGCACGAGACATTACCGGTGTGTTGAACTCTCCGACAGCTGAGCATGCGAGCGTGTATGTGTGTGTGGTAGTGCTGTATGAGCGTGCATGTGTGTGTGTGTGTGTGTGTGGATGTGTGTGTGTATAGATTTGGGGGGGTAGGGCCTTAAAGGGTCCCCTGGAACAAAAGGTATGTAGGCAGCTGCCATCCTGCTGCCAGCAGCTCATGATCCAAATGGAAGATGTACATGCACACATGTGCACGAGGGACAGATTGGAGTCCAACGAGGATCTGACACACTCAGCCAGGCAGCTAGTGACTCCCTCACGCTCATGCCGCCGCAAGTTTCTGTCCAGCCACTAGTCCAAAACCCCAAAGATATTCAGATTAGGATGTAAAACTAAAAAAAATCAATAGATATTCACTGTTTCACAAACTCAAACCAGAGACTGTTTAATATTGTTGCTTGATAAATTACTTAAATCAGCTTAATTGCTGCCTTTAATTGCCTTTTGATTTATAACCCAAGGATTTTAGCATTAGCATTTGTTCCGGTAACACATTAATATTGTAATGGTAACAGAGTTAAAGTCTATACTGATAGGAAATGTCTGTTGTATTCCCACATGACGATTTGGCTTCGACTAAAACTAATAGTGATTGATTATGCATTTCTCAACAAAGATTAAAGAGTCTAATATTTTTTTACTGTATGAAAATGAACAGAAACTATTACGTGTAGCTGGTTGTGTTGATTAATAAATAAACAGAATGTGTGTAGAACAATTAATAATTGATTACTTTTCGTTTCATATATTTTAAATATGATCTTCAGACTGTTGCTCAGACAAGACGCGTAATTTTAATGTCACATATTGAGACTAATACACACAGATAGACTGAATAAGTAACGAAATAAGGAAAATATCAACACGAGCAGCCCGTGAGCGCGCATGACTCGAAGCGAACGGACTGAAACGTGAACAAACACTGGAATAGTCCTTTAAAGAGCTGTCCAACAAGCAGCTCATGTGCCAACACAGACACTGATGAATTGGTGGCAGTTGCTGAAGGCATATTAGGGCAAAGGGTGACCTGGGAGGGGTTTGTGGGTGAGGAAGGGAGGAGGTGAGTGTACTGTGAGGTGGGGTGGGGGGGTGACAAGAAACAGCAGAGGAGAGGGGGGCCTGGAGGGTGGTGGGGGGTGTCCAGTGAGAAGGGTAATTTGGGGCGTCCAGAGTGAAGCGTTCCACCAGCAGTTGTCACTTCAGCAGTCGGTGGTCGAGTGGCACATGTGCTGCTCCGAGTTTGTTGGACCCTGTTTCTCTTCAGGACTGTATCCCTCCGTCATCTCCGACTTGGACTATCTCGCGCTTGGACTTCTGCTTTTTTAAATAACTGGCCTCAATCCAGAATCCAGACAGGGTTTTTTTTTTTTTTCCCTCCCTTTAGCACTTCCAAAAAAACGCCTTTTGCCACCTTTGAACTTTGACGGTAAGAAAACTGAGACGGTGCAGCTCTGAGTGTGTTTGTGTGTGTGTCTGAGTGCTTCCACCGATGTAATTGGTTTGAACTGACATGAACGCTGCGTCGCTTAAAACCATAATTACTTCAAGAGAAAATGTCATAATTGATGGCTGCTTGTCCGCGTTCACATTACCTCTCCTCTGGCTAGAACTAGCATTTTTCCAACTTTCTCATGCTCGGTTTGAGCTCGGACTCTGAATCTGAGAAATATTTCACTCTGAGGTCTCTAATCAGTCCGGGAAGCCATCGGCGTGGGGCGCACTGCTGGCGCCTCGGAGGACTTTACGCGAGGTAGATAGCGAGGAGTGCGAGGTGACTTGCTGTGTGGCCTGCTGTCCATCGTCAGCCGCCGAGCTGACACCTTCCCCGTCTCCCGGATCTGCCGAGGGGAGGATCGAGAGTGGCTGGGGGGCTGTTGTGGTGATTTACGGTTGATGGCTTGTGTTGTCATGCAGCTCATAACATCACACCTGTTCTTGTTCATTCTTGAATCGGAGGCGTACATGACCGTTAATGCGCAGTGTCGCAACGCTCTTGCCCTTGACACCTGTTACAACCGTGTTCTTCAGCTATCACACATTGAATTCTTTGAAGTTATATAGTTGTTTTTTTTTTTTTTCATAGGGTTTCTTTGACCTTGTCGATTGCTCTTATTACTATATCTTGGATTTTCAAAGCCACACCACTCAAACATCGGGTACATAGCAGGAAGTCGTTTATCCTTGTTCAGTAGCCTGGAGGTTCTACTCTGGAGATAGCGACCTTATCTTCATTCTTATACATAAAATTGGTTTGTTTGCCTCTGCGTCTCATGTAAAAGTAAAAAAGTGTCTGATTATTACATGAATCCTCCAGTACTTGTGGCTAACAGCATTTCACTTTGACATGATCACAGAAAATCTGTTTTATAGTTAGAAGCTCTTTTTTTTCCCTACAAGTTGAATCGTCCTTCCTTGTTGCGGGCTTCGTTTCAAACCGCTCAGAAGAAGACCGGACAGGCTCGCGAGTCTCCAAGCAGCTGCTCCACACTTGTTTTGAAAGGTATCTTGACAACAAAGCTGCCCTGGCTCGATCTCCTGTGGCCAGATTGAAAGATGCCTCTCTGAGCTGAGCTGAGGGAACTCGTGCTTTCTAATGACCGCACATATGAACAATCAGGACTTAGTTTATTCTGTATCTCTAAAAAAAAAAGAAAAGAAAAAAGATCTTCAGGGAAGGTTAATCTGTTGAAAGGATTGCAGTTCACTACGCAAAACGGCATCCTGCGTGTGTGCCAGATTCTAATGAGTGTTTATTATTACTGAGTGCCTTGTGCATACTTGTGGTGCCCACATTTCATGGTTAATGACGGATAAATCTCTCAAAATGTTTGCGGTTGACGCTATAAATAGGCAGGTATTATGTTGCCTAAAACTGCAGCATTCCCTCCTCCTCCCACTCACCTGCATTCATAAAATAAACCTGATAGCACTTGTGATAAAAGGCTATATTTACGTGTCAGCCGTCTGTCTTGATCTCGCCCGTCTGCCTCTCCTGCGAGGCCCCATTGATGAGAACGTGTTCGACTGGTGGAGGCAAACTCTCTGACGTCCAGAAGCCGCGCTGATGTCATTCGCTGCTTTGTTTCGAGCAAATTTTTCTCTGTCACGGACGTATTGTTGATGCGCCGCGGCAGAACAAAGATGATGGGGAAGAGCTGTGAGAAGAGAAACCTGTAAACTGTCCTACATTCCAACGCGCTGCACTGTTTGCCATAATGAAAAACAGAATGGGCATGATAAATGAACTCATCTGCAAGGCAAACACCGCCCCGAGAAGTTTGAATAAACAGTAAGGTTGTCACTGTTGGAATAACTTTCATTTTAAAAATCAGGAATCACTTGAACTTAGAGCTGGTTTAATGTCGTTGTTAATGGATTAGTTAGTCGTCATCATTACCAATTTGTCGTCTAGTTGTTTAGTCTGTAAAATGTCAAAACTCATGAGCAGTTCTCAGAGTCTGAGGGGGCATCCCCACCAGTCTGAAAGCCAAAGATTTTCAATATACAGCTATGTTGTAAGAGGAGAAAACGATCAAAACCCTCACATTAGAATGTAGGATGAGTGCCTTTCTGTCGATAAACATCATTTTACAACCAGATTAGTCGATTGGCAAATGGACGGCGAGTTTTGTTGAGACTTGGCTCTTAGAAAAGCATTTTTTTCAATTTATTACGCTAGAAAATAATCAATAGTTTGATCGTTATGGAGAATAGTTACCAGCTGTACATTGAGGCAGGAAAAGCAGAACCTCTTGCAGGTCTGTCAACACATACAGCCACTTTTAGCTTTTTATATAAAATCTACCTGATACCAACACGTCGTTTTCTGCTTCATAAAGTCATTTCTAAAGCAAAAATACCAGCCTTGTTTCAGCTTCTGCAGTCAGAGCACAGGCTGCTTTGCTCCGTATCACTTATATTTACTGTTGCATTTAATCTTTAGGTCTTTGACTGGTGGTCAGACTGGAATCTCAAGACTTCCCCGTGGGCTTTGCAAACTTGTCATTGCTACTATTACTCTGCCGGCTGCGTGGAACAAATAAAACAACACGAGCTTGTGATGAGCATTCCTCATCTGGTGCATTTTTCCAAATTAATTTTTCATAACATCACTGTGACGGTGGAATTTTTTATTTTTTTTCCTTCCAGCCAGCACAAGTTGCCTCCTACAAGCTAGTGAACAAGAAAATCCTCTCTTAACTGTTAAATCTTCCCTCCCATTGTTCCACGGGTTCCTCCAATCAGTGCACACCTCGCACCTTTCACAGATAGGTGTGTCCCTGAGCGCGTAAAGTTCGTTTACTTTTGGCTGTGATGTAACCTGACAGGTCAAACCACATAGTCCACGCTGCCGATGCAGTGACAGCAACAAGCCTCAGAGTCAACAACAAGCCACACTAGAAGTATTGTGCGGCCTTCCAACAAGTCCTCTGCTCTTCATATGCTTTCTAAGCTTCTGGACAAAAGACGTCTTTGTGTGTCTGCGTGTGTACACACACATGTACATGCATGGGTGTACGGAGGGTATTATCAGGGTATTTTCGCTGTATTCATGCCAGAGGCTATGAGCACAAACAGTGGATCAGTGACAGTTAGGGCGCCCCGTGTTAAGTGCGTGGGTGTGTGTTTTTCTTTGCCTGTGTGTGCGTGCGTGCACTTGTTTGTTTTTGTGTACGTGTTTGGGAGTGTGTGTGTGTGTGTGTGTGTGTGTGCTCGGGCAGACTGCGGTATTGATAGCGGCCCGGCAGTGCGGGCGTGATTCACGAGCCAAGAGGCACAGATCTTTTTACCGCCCCTCCCATCCCATCTCATCCCATAACCCCCCCCCCCCCCCCCCCCATACCACCACCACCACCACCACCAGCACCACCAGCTCAGAAGTGCTGCCCTTGCACTGCATCAGCCCTCCTCTCTCTCCCCCACCTCTCCAAAGTCTCACCCATGATTGGTTAAGAGGAGAAGGGGGAAGGGGAGATCATATTCCACTGCCAGGGTTGGCAGCATAGAAGCACAGGCACAATCACAATCATAAGCCAGGCTTCAGATATAAGGCCAGCAGCTCCCTCCTCCATCTCCCTCCCCTCCTCCAGTATTTGTCACAATGCCCTCCCTTCACTCCACCTGCTGATGCTTCCACCACAAAAATCAGCCATAGGGTTTTGTTGATATTGCAAAGATGCATGCTGGGTGACCTGAAGCCTGAGTGTGACGAGAGCTGTGTCCAATGGTTGCCCGGGAACATGAGGCAACAGGCTGTAAATATCACACAGCTGGTGCTGGCAGAACACCCTCAAGGTTGGGCCGCAAACCGAGCCGCGCCGGGTCAGATGAGGGATTTTCAGCGGCCCAGTTACACGCCAACCTTTTCCCTCAACCCCGAAACCCGTCAGTGGTTCTGTCTGCGTCCCAACGAGGAGCAAATATATTGTGGACTTTATTTCCCTCTTCCGTACAGAACCTGATTCATGATTGTAATGTATCTCGGAGCTGGCACGCTGCATATGAACCTTGGCATTAATGCCTTCATGATGACAGGGACCCTATGTGCAGATATCAGCTGCGCCAGTGTTCCAGCAATTCATTAAAGCACATTCATAAAGTTGGGACGTGCAAGGAACGGGGGAAAAAGGACGGTCAAAATCAAAGCAGAGGGAGCTTAGATGCTGGTTTGTGGTGGGTGTTCAGAAGGAAGACAACACTGAAAACAAGCTTGTTTGGTCTCTAACAGCCCAAAATCCAAGCTGGACCCAGTGAATGTCGTCAGCTTTTGCATCGAAAATGAGTGAAACAGTTTATTGAAAGTGGTTAAATTGATTTTCTGTTGTTCGTTGCTCTCAATTGTTTCAGCTCAGTCTGGTTCAGAAGATTAAGTTGGGATTTCAGCTGCCGTAACTGGTGCCTATTATTGAAGCAAGGCGTTCAGCTCGGTGTTATGTTGATCATTTTTCTGGAACGCTTCAGCTTTTTCTGTCTTTCGCTAAACCAAAGCTTCAGGTACGGCACAAGCTCAAGACACCTGCTGATTAGATTTTTATGGGATTCCCAGTCGCACGCAGCGTCTGATGACATCATTTGTCATGTTGTGTTTCGTCCATCACGTCGGACCGGTTTGAGTGAGCGCTGAATGATGAATGAATATTGGTAAAATATTGATCCGCCCGTCCTCCGGCTGAGGCGCAGATCAGTCATTTTCACAGCCTGCTGCAGAGGTCATGACTCCAGCAGCTGCATCCAGGCTGCCTTCTTGAAACCTGAAGACCTGAAGCCTTCAGCAGATCTTGAGACGACTTCTGTGATAGTTTGCCAGCAGAGGCCTGTCAATATATTTCGTATATTTCAACAAACAAAACAAGTTGATTTGTTTGTATTTATATTATGACACACAATCTGTGCCACTCTTGATTTAGATTGTGTGTGTTTAGTGCT